TTTCAATGAACTTCAATTTCGATCCTGCAGCTGACCAAGCTCAATTCAATGGATCGTTTCAGTATCTTATCTGTTTGGAAGGCTTTTAACTCTCTCCGATTTTCTTAGGACAATTGTCACCTCCAAATTTTGTGATATGAGAAATTTAAAGCCTGTTGTTTTCGGACTGATAAAAATATCGTTTTGGTACTGAATAAAGCGGGTCAGCTGGGATTTTCAGAAAGGCAATAAGACCAAATTTGTTTTTGGGAAATAAATTCCAAATAAAGAGCCCAAATAAAGTTGAGAAGACTCACGTTCTCCTCAGTAGATCGAGAATGACCGAATAGATAAAAAGTGTAATTGTAAGTACCTCGGGCCAATGGATAGCCTAAAACAGCGTTTTAAAGCATTTGAGAGAAAACCGTTGTTGCTTTCGCGATAGGGACGCAATTTATCTAAAGCCCCTGAATTTTGTTCTGCTTTCTATATTATTTTTGTCACAAATTCCTCGGAAAGAATAAGGAGCATTCTTATCGTTTTGGGTTTCAGTTAAAACTAAGATGCTGTTGAAAACAGCTTGACCTTTAAAGTGTTGTTAAATATTTTCTTCTCATAATAGCAACGTTATGCCATGCAAGCAGAGTACAGCTCGTGAAATCAAACCTTGTTCTACTTTAGTTTTACGATTTTTTTTTTTCGATAATGGTGCAATATATCATTTTCCTCTGGTTCTTTCACAAAAATCTATCCATATACCTGCACAAAATGAATAAAACATTTAAGAAAGTCAGAAGAAGATCAGATTCAAAGACTCACTTCTCTTTTGTGGTTGCCTGTTTTCAAACTCTGCTTCTTGACTAAGCCATTCGTCGTCGACGTCTGCATTGGAAATGTTTAAAACCATAAGCATCCCCACGAAGAGAACTAAGATCCATTTTGCGTTCATAATTCTGTTAAACGGATCTCAACGCTTTAGTAATGTTTTAGTAAGGTGGCTGTCTTTTCTTCCACACTGAGGATGGCTTTGAAAGAATGCAACTGAGCAACTCCTACTATGTTGTCAGCTTTTATGCTCTTCTGCTTCCATTGGCCCGGGCCCGTGATTTGTATTACAAACAAAGCTTCTCACAAAATGCAAAACCCGTTACAAATTGCGAGCACTGAGTGGCTCGGTGGTTTGAAAAGAGATCGTTGATATTGAACAGTTAAATCGGATTCGCTGATCTCAACAACGGTCTTGGCAAGGCTTGTAAAGTTTTAGCGCGATGAAAGCTTTCCCCTCTGTAACTGTCTAGACAAACAGGAATAGTTAATGTAGCGTGATTTCACCGGATGTCGTTTCTCGCTTAATTTCCGCTCGATGACAGTACCTTACGTAAATAGCGTGTTTTGCCTCAAGTTTTATAATCGTCTGGCTTTGCTTGAAGCAGAATTACTTATATAATTAAGTGTCTGCGGCGTAAAGAGGCAATCCCCATATTCCTTTTCTCCAAAGTTAGGATAAAAACACTGATGGGAATGGAGAGTTTTCTCGTGCGGTTTTGACCCATAGCTCTGATGCTAGTAAATGTCTTATCATGTTTTAAATCGTAGTCTGGCATTCATTAGCAAGTACGTCTTTTAATTTTGAGAAAACGGTTTGTTTATTAACATAGATAATTTCTCGTTATGACAACAATACTGTCATTTACTCTATATTAGTATAAATCTGCTAACGTTGTATGATCACGAATGCCGTTCTCTGATTAGGCTTGATTAGCAGTGTGCAGTTGCTAACAAAATGGCGGCCGCTTCTTTGCGTTTTGAAAGTGACTATGAAGAGGATTTATCGGATTTACATCAAGTTTTGAACGACTCGTAGATTTAAACTAAAAACCCAGACTGTTTGCTCTCGATTTCTTTCGCGTGATAGTTGACTCGGGCTGGCGTCCTCGTCAACTATCGCGCAATAGAAATCTCGAGCTCATAATCTAATTGTTAAACACAACCAAATGACTGAATCCAACAACAAACAAGCCATTTCACCAGTAAAGACAACTATTTGTAACGCACATAAATTTATTAGTCCGCCAATCTAAGCGGCATCGTTGTAACATAAACTCTTACAATTTTTTACGGTAACACATTTCGCAGCACTCGTTTTCATCACGCGATGCGTTGATTGATTTAAACTCCCGTCCAACAAAACAAACGCGCTGAGCTGGGACTTACATCGTGGGCCGCAGCAGCAGCTGTGGCCAAGAATAGGGACAGATGGCGAGCATTGATCTCCGGCCCTATCCCCCACTCGGGGGCAAGGAACTAAGCCAACAAAACATAGTTGAGGGCCATTTACGAGTCACCACAACCTTTTTGGAAATCACGCTAGGTATTATTTCGTGTTGTCTTACATCAAAGGTCTTCCGATACAGCGGTGCTCGTCGGAAATTGTGAAAAGAAAGGTACCAGTACCGTGACCGTGGGCGTGGCTCAAATCTCAGAGATACTGGCAATCCCAAAACAACAAATTAACATTGGCATATTTCTGGACAAGAGTTATGAATAACTCCGACTATATTTCACATGCATATAAATATCAGCTGGGCACGAAAAGATACAGCGATGACCCTAACGGCTTTTATTTTAGATTTAGCAACCCCACGGACAAATTTAACTCTCTAAAAGACCCCAATCCCCATTGCTTGCCATTTGTAATTGGCACTATCAATCAGTTTGGTTTTACGTATTTCCGGTACTACGCAAATATACTACATAAACACTTTTTGTCATGTAAAATTCGCATTGGACCTGTCAGCCGAAATATAATACACCTTAAAGAATCATTCGAAAATCGCCTTAAAAATCACCGTAAAAAATTTATATCAAAACCCAACCAAACCTTACAAGCTTCAAAAAAAATCCCTTTTTGAACATTTTATGGACAGTTATAAGGAATTGGACCATTTTATCATGTAAATTTCTAATTTTTCAATTTTCTTGTTCTAACGGTTAGAATTGATCCAATGCTTTGCTTTTTTTAAAAATGAAGTGGGGGTATATTTCGGCCTAGAAGCTCGACACCGAGAAAGCCCTTCTTTTACCTGTGTCCATTTTACTGAAAACTAAGGCCATCAAGAGTTAGTTTAGAGTCCCCGGGAATGGAAAATATCCCCCAAGTTCC